CCTCCTCCTCCTCCTCCTCCTCCTCTTCCCACTCCTTCTCCTCCTTATCCTCCTCCTTCTCCTCCTCCTCCTCCTCCGCCTCCTCCTCGGGCCTCTCTAATCGGAGTGCGCACGTCGCATCGGGGCGCATCGGCATGGAGTCGAGTCCGACCAGCCGCGCCAGGATTTTGGGGGGCAAACAAGCCTACATCGCTTTTGACCGCCCTCGCTTCCAAGAGGTACCAAGCGATGCCAAACTACGGCCTCTACTGGTCAGGCCGCTTGCCGAGGAGGCGCGTGGCATGACTCGGTTTTGCCTGGAAGCGACAGCGGGGTAGGTAATTCACGCTCTGAGATTTGACGAGCGCGTTCCACTACTCGCAGGGTCGCTGCTCGCAGATGGCCCGGATCCGCCGCGGGGGATCTACGAACCATCACAGCAAAGCAGGCATGTGTTTTTGTTTCGGACGTTTGCGGGCAGGCACTTTTGCGAGTAGTGGGACGCGCTCGGCGAAGGATGCAGCGCGACGCCATGAGAACATCGGGCGGCACCCGATCGTCGACAACCCAAGAATCTGAAGGGGAACTGGGACACACAAATAAATACACACAAATAAAAATATCCCCCATATTTTCGCATATTTTCTGGGCTTTTGTCTCCCCCCCCACTTCCAATATTTTCCCATATTTTCGGGGAATCGAGGATTAATTGTGTCTGTGTGTTTCTTTCCCTCCTGCGAATCGCACCGGACCGCGCCAGCCGAAGCCGGTGCCGAACCGCATGGATCGGATCGAAGAGGGCCGGTGGTGGTCTCGAGAGCCGGGTCGACCGCCTCGAGCCTCGGACATCGGCTGGTCGGCCAGAGCAAAAACTACTCCAGATTTCGTAATAAAGGGAGGGGGGTCTCATTTCGGGGGGGGTCTCTTCCAGGCTATCTTGGAGGGCCTGGGGGGGTCTGGAGACGACGTTTTGGAGGGTTCTCCCACGGGGGGGGGTCTAAAACTTCTCGTCTGGGAGGGTTGAGACCCCCTCCCTTTTATTACGAGATCTGGAGTAGATCCAATCACAACCGGGACCGATTCCAGAGGACCGTGCAAGGCTAAGCGGCTTCTGCTGCCCCTGGGTCCGCGCCGGATCTTCCACCAAGTTCCAGGCTTGCAAGGATGTGATTGGGGGTCAACCTCGCGGTGCAAGCTTGCGACGACTTGCATCGATCTGCGTTCCTGTCTGCTGGCATGATCCTTGCAAAACGATTGCAGAGGACGGTCCTGCAGGCCCTCGAAGAGAGGACGCAGGGGGCACCCGAGCGGACATATGACTCTGCCGAGACGGACCCGCGACCCAGACATGACGGTGGAACTAGACCTGACACGCAGGACACCAGGGCTCGACTTAAACAATGCTCTGAAGCACGACGCACGCCCGCACATGGGCATCTAGGGTGCTGCGGGTGCGGCGCCAGAGCACCCGAGCGTCAGGAAGCAAGGCCTGATCAGATGTTGCCCGTGAAGCTGGAGATCTGGCCCCTGGAGGCTGGAAGTCGGAGGCTGGAGGCTGGAAGTCGAAAGCTGGAGCTGGAAGTCAGAAGAGGGTTCTGCCCAGACCGTGCTTGCACCCCGTTGCACTGCCATCGCATTGAATTGCAATCGCATTGCGATTGCATTGCAACCGCATTGATTGCAATCGCATTGGACTGCAATTGCAATCGCGTGAACCTGCACCGCACAACACTGCGTTGCATGGCATGGCTGCGCCATGCGTCTCTTTGCAGTGTTTTGCGTCGCTTTGCATTTCGTTGCCTTGCATTGCATTGCATTGCATAACTTTGCACTGCTTTGCGTCGCATTGCATCGCATTGCATTGCTTTGTGTTCCTTTGCGTTGCTTTGCATTGCGCTGCGCCAAATCGATAGCACCACAAAAATATATTGCACCACATGCATCGCGCACACCTAGATGGCACCACATTGATTGCACCACCTAGATTGCGCCGCTTAGTGTGCAAGAAATCCCTGTTTGGGGCCCGCGCTGGCTCACATCGTGTTGCTGTCGTTTCCTTTCGACCTGGCGTCGCTCGCCACTTCAGGCAAGACGAATCCTGAACGCACACGGCCCACGAAATGGACCCACCGCACCGCTCGTGGTCGAGCAGTGCAGGACACACGTGGGGGCACCCTCGATCGTGCGAGGTCGACCTGCGGATCGGGCCTGGCTGCGGACTTTGCGGGCAAGATTTATATCCATCTCCAGTGCGCCTTCGACTTTTTTTGGGAAGGCGCGCCACAAGGCCGAGGTGCACTGGACATGGGTAAAAATCGAGCCTCTAGGGGGGCAAAATCATCCATATCCAGTGCGCCTCGGGCTTCTGGCGAAGGGAGCCCGAAACTCCATACTGCAGTGGATATGGACAGAAGTAGTGCTCGCAGGTTTGTGCCCTCGCCCCCTCGAGGATCCGGGAGGGCGGCGGTCGCGGAGGGAGGCTCTCGGACCCGGGTGTCGCTCGAGCCGGCCTCGGCCCCTCGTGGGCCTCTGGAGGCCTCGGGGGACGTCGGGGGGTCAACTGATGCTGCACCTCCTGGGGGGACCCCTTCTTTCTTACTTCAACTACGGACAATGCGTCGAACACACATCCTACCTGCCCACTACCCGCTGTGTCCTCAGTCCACCAAGATTGTCGTGAATAGTACATCGAGAGACCACTCCAAAGCTAAAGATTCAGCCATAAACGGATCAACCAGAATACCAAAACATCGTCCCGCCCGAATTATCATCTGCCCGTGGCCAGCACAATCGTATGCGTAAATGGCAATCCCATCGCGTCGCTGCTCGCGCCGAGTCCGCGCCGAACCCCCGTCGAACCTGCGCCGAATGCGCGTCGAGCCCGCGAGTCCGCATCAAACCAGCGTCGAGGCCACGCGTCCTCCGCGTCGAGCCCACGGCGACCCCGTGCAAGAATGGACTGCACTCTTGCCGGATGCAGAGGGTCCCCGAAGGGAGGAGGACCTTGGGCGGCCGTTTGACCATGGCTCGGGCCGAGAGCTCGTCGACGGTGCCCCTCCGGCTGGCCTCCGGGCCACGGCTCGGGCCCCGGGCGGCCGATGTAGGAACGACTGAAGGGGCCCTTAAGGACACACAGAGAAGTACACACAAATCACAGGATTGTCCATATTTCCCTACATTTTCTGGGCTTTCGTCTTCCCCCCCGCTTCCCATAGCTTCCCATACTTTCCTGGGGCGACGATGCATGATGTCTGTGTGCTTTTTTCCTTTCTGAACGAGTCAGGGCTCTCTGGAGGGCTCTCGGCGCGGCGCGGCTGAAGGAAAAGACACCCCAAGCCCGAGAGCCTCCGAGGCTCGAGTCCAACACAAAAGGACCTCCGAAAGCCGACGAGGGGGCGCTGATCGCCAGGCACCCTCTGAGGCAGCCGCCGAGCCAGTCCTTGTTCCGCGGATCGTTCGGCAAGCCCACGATGTCGTAGCTCTTGTGCTCGATTCCTCGGCCCGGCCAGCGCTAACGCCGTCGTCCTCCTCCTCCACCTCCTCCTCCTCCTCCTCCTCCGGCTCCTCCTCCTCCGGCTCCTCCTCCTCCGGCTCCCCCTCTTCCCAAAGAGCCCACCAAAGGGACTCCGTAACCACAGGGTGCCCACGGGTCAATCAAGTTACAAGACGAAGCAGGGGAGACGGTGGCAGGGGGGAGGGTAATAGGAACGGACAGCCTCGAACCCCTCTGGGGGCCCCCGACCCCCTCATACGGTTGGGAACGTTTGCTTAGCGTGTCGCGGCCGTGGCTCCTGCGACATGCTGCGCGCTGCAAGCTGACAGTGTGTCGCTCCACTCCGCGGGGCGGGAGACTGGGAAAAGCTCGAAAGGCTGACGCCGGGGGATCCAGACGTGATTAGCGTGTCGCGCCGAAACGTGGTGGGCCAGAACAAGCGGAGGGACACGCTAAGCAAAAGTGTCCAGACCTAAATCCTGCCTCTAAGCTCCCCCTCCTCCCTTGTCCTTCCTCCGCCCTCCTCCTCGTCTGCACATCTGCAGGTCTGTCCTGGAGAGCGTTCTGACGAGGATTTCGAAGCGAGCAGCGGCAACGAAGGCGGGGGACCAAACAAGGGCGAGCACACGTCAAAAACCTCTTCCCCCCTCCTCCGACGCCTCCTCCTCGTCCTCCACCCCCCCTCTTTCTCCTCCTCTTCCTCCTCCTCCTCCTCCTCCTCCTTTCGTCCCCACGCCACCCTGGAACCCCCTTCCCCGGATATCTAGGTGGCGACACCCGAGCCCTACTCCCACCAACCATCGGTTCTCCTGCATCGACGGGAGGCAGCGGAAGGGTTCGGATTTGGCCACGTCTTCGACGAATTCCGAACTCCACCTGCCACCCATCGCGTTACCTGAATCTTTGACCGGCGAGGGTAGGGCTCGGATTTCGCCGCCGAATATTTCCCTGTCGCCCGCCTTCCTTCTGGATAAATGAGGCCATCCCCGCCCCCGCCGGGGAAACCCTGGCTCCGCTGGCCGACGTATATCGGGGATGGACAGACCCCCCTTTAGTAAAACGTGGTTTAGTGAAAACGACCTGAGGCCCAAACCTGGCGGGCGCAAGCCTGCAAAATAATGGCCACGGCGCCATCTCGAGAACCGAAAACGGACAATTCACTAATCGACGTGTCACTGTTGGGGGTTCTGTCCACCTCCGAGTATACCACCCCGCCGGTGGGGATGGGTGCCGTCTCCCTCGAGCTGCGGTCCCACGCGGCCTCTCCCGGAGGTGGCCGGCTGGGAGAGCCAATCTTACCAGCCTCGATTGACACGCCAAAAGGCGATGACAATCTTAGGGATCCGCCCTCAAAAAATAAGGGAATCCCTAAGATTCGCATCGTGATGAGGAGGTGCCCAGTATAGGGATAGGGATATGTTCCAGGCTGGTAATAATCTAAGCAGCCTGCTCCAGTCGGGGGCAAGGATGGTTCTGAGGATGGTGGCTCCCGGTGCACGCTACGAGAGCTGCTCGGGCGCTGTGAGCACCACGTCGCGCTCACCACCAAACACGGGCCCAAAAAGGGGCACGCACGTTGGCGCTGTGCTGGACATCGTCGAGCCGGTGGCGATCGAAACAGCCGCCGTCGGACGCCGCCTCTAGCTCGCTTCGCCGTCCCGTCCACCTCGCCCCCGTTGCGCCTCCCCCTCGGGCCCCCAAGAGCCCCCTGGGGCACCTCAGCGACCCGCAGGAGTTGCAACCCCTCCATCGCAGCCTCCTCCTCCTCCTCCTCCTCCTCCTCCTCCTCCTCCTCCTCTCCTCCTCCTCCTCCTCCTCCTCCTCTCCTCTCCTCCTCCATCCTCCTCCTCCTCCTCCTCCCCCCCTCCTCCTCCTCCTCCTCCCCCTCCTCCCTCCCCCCTCCTCCTCCTGCTCTTCTCCTCCTCCTCCTCCTCCTCCTCCTCCTCCTCCTCGACTCCTCCTCCTCCTCCTCCTCCTCCTCCTCCTCCCCCCCCTCCTCCTCCCCCTCCTCCCTGCCTCCCTCATGTTCTGCACTTCGGGCAGAAACGCCACTGGCCCAGCGAGCTCGCCAGACCGCCCGTAGCGAGAGAGCTCCCTCCGGAGGGGGCTCGAGCAGACCTGGCGGGAGCTCCCCCGCCGCCGGCGTGCTGCCCAGCCCAGAACCACGTCGGCGGCGTGCGCCCTAATATCTGGAGCCTCCCCTCCCTCGCGACGAGGGAGATCGGGATCGGAAGAACAGGGCCAGGTCAACGCTCGGTCGGCCGAGTCCAGCCAGGTGCAGGGGGGAGGGGAGTGCTCAACGCCTGCTCCTGCCAGTGGGGGGAACACCTATGGAGCCCTCCCACGTGGGACCCGAGCAGATGGGCGCATCGCCGATGCATCGGCGGTGCGGCGCGATCCTCCGCCCTCATCCGCTTGGACCCCACTTGGGTGGCCTGGACAAGAGGAAGCTCTATCCTCGACTCTCGAGCCTCGACACTCGAACCTGGATTCTCTTGAACCCCGTCCGTGCGAGAATCGAGGATGAGGGGGGGGAGCGGCGGGCAGTGGCGACCCGAGCCCGCGGCCAACGGAACCCACGTTCATCTTCGTGCTGGGCATCACCGCCCACACCTGCCGCTGGCACGGGAGAGAGGGAGAGGAATAGAGAGAGAGAGAGAGCGAGAGAGGGCAAGCAGAAGAAAAGCTCTTCGAATCAGACACACTGCATAAACAAACATTCGGGGGTCCGCGAGGATTTCTTGGGTCCGGCGCTGTGCCCCTTGGCGGCGCATCTGGTCCTCTGGTGCTCTCCGCAAGGGGCTCCAACACCGATCCAAGGAATCCGCGTGGACTCATACAACTGGCTGTATACTATGTGTATATGAAGCTTGTGTTCTCCGAGCGAGAGCGGGAGAGAAAGCGAGAAAGAGGGAGAGAGAGGGAGAGAGAAAGTAGGAGTCAGAAAGCGAAAAGAGAGAGAGAGAGAGAGCAACAAGAAGCGAGAGACCAAGACCTCTGGACCATCGAAACACATCGCGCCAAAAGTGCTGGCCAATGTTTCGGCTTCTGGGTGCAATCTCTGAGCTCTGAGCCCAGGGCAATCAACGAAATTGCTGTGGAGGAAGAACTAGTCCCGACACGGCCCGAGAACTCCAGGGGCAAGCGACTCGAAAATCCGAGTCGCCTGAGATCCGGCAAAAGAGAAGATTCAAACATGTCGTCCTCTTCATTCTTCCCCACACCCCCTCCTCCTCCTCCTCCTCCTCCTCCTCCTCCTCCTCCTCCTCCTCCTCCTCCTCCTCCTCCTCCTCCTCCTCCTCCTCCTCCTCCTCCTCCCCCTCCCCCTCCCCCTCCCCCGCCCCCTCTCAACTCTTGGCGACCCCGATCCGCGACTGAGTGGGACTTTTGACGGTCCGCAGAGTTTGAACCAAGACCCGGGGATCTACTATGGGCGGGAGTCCATCCTCGACGCGGGTGCGTCCGAATAGCCTCCCAAGGGTGTATCCCCGAGTGTCCCTTGCTTTCTAACCAGCCTGATGGTCGGGGGACAGGCAGGACCAAGTATCGAACCACATCGGCACGGACCTGGAATCGGATCGAATCGGCCCCATCAGGCTTCACAACGCCGGCATGCACGCGTCGGGACGCATCGGGCAGTCAGAACATAGGAATCGACTCGCATCGGGCCAACCCCAATAGATACAGTGGAGGCCAGTCCGCAAGACACCTTCCACAAGAAACCCAACCCTGAGATATCAGGACGTCCATTGATGTTTGGTGTGGCAACGTCGCGCCTTCCACAGCAAAACCATCGAAACCCAAATAATCCAGGGCACCCTGGAGGCAAGCAGGGTGTTTCTTGGCATGGGTCTCCACTGCATCCCCGAAACCCAGCAGAAGTGGCATCTCTTGGGAAGGCAACCTTTGCTTCCGCGGGCTTCCGCCGGCCTCCGCAGGAGCGGCCCCCGATCTGTCAAGGCCCCGTAGACCCGGACACGCTAGGCCAGAACACCTGGGCCGGCACAGAAACGGAAAGAGCGCTTCAGAAACAGAAACCGAAATTGCTCACACCACCGTTCGTACTGGGAGCCTTGGCGTTGAGAGCTTGTTACGTCACCCCTCGCTCTTGGGAGCCTTGGTGTTCAGAGATTGTTGCGTTGCCGCCCGTTCCTGAGCTTTGGCTGGGCCTCGGTGTCGGGAACTTGTTACGTCACCGCTCTCTGCTGGGAGCCTTGGTCTTATCAGCTTGTTTACGTCACCGTTCGCTCTTGGGAGCCTTGGTGTGAAGAGGTTTTTGCGTTACCGATCGCTTTTTATTTTGCGTCTTTGGGCCTTCGTAGGAGTCCTATTGGGGCCTTTTGAAGCCCTTTTGGGGGCTTCTTGGAGGCCTCTTGGGGCTTCTCGGGGGGCTCTTGGGGCCTCCTTGGAGCGTCTTGGGGCGAAAGGCTAGACTTTTCGGTTCGTAGTCCCCCTCTTGGGGCCGTCTTGGGGTTCTCTTGGGCCGTCTTGGGCGCCTCTGGGGCCGTCTTGGGGCCCTCTTGGGCCGTTTTGGGGGCCTGTTGGGAGCCTCTTGGGCCGTCTTGGGGCGGTCTTGGTGGCCTCGTGGACCGTCTTCAACGCCGTGAAAGCCGAAAAGCCGTGTATGCTAAAAATGTACGTTTCCCTATGAGAATTCCATGATTTTGGCCTGCTGGTGGCCTCTTGGGACGACTCTTGGGGGCCTCTTGGGGCTTCTCGGGGGGCTCTTTGGGCCTCCTGGGAGCGTCTTGGGGCGAAAAGCTAGACTTTTCGGTTCGTGGCCCCCCTCTTGGGGCCGTCTTGGGGCCCTCTTGGGCCGCTTTGGGGGCCTCTTGGGAGCCTCTTGGGCCGCCGTCAACGCCGTGAAAGCCGGAATGCCGTATAAACTAAAAATTTAAGTTTCCCCATGGGAAATCACAAGTTTGGGCATCTTGGGGGCCTCTTGGGGGGCCTCTTGGGGGCCTCTCGGAGCGTCTCGGAAGCCTCTTGGGCCGACCTCTGGGGCCTCTTGGGCCGTCTGGGGCCCGTCTGGGACGGAAAAAGGGGGAACCCGAAAAACATACAAAACCCCAAAGGAAAACCCGAAAACGGCCATTACACCGCATCCCTGCACCCCTCCCCCCTCCCCTGGACTCCTTCTAGAGGGCTTCGCCCAAACACAACGTCATCACTCGTACCTCGCTCTTTCCGTTATCCAACCCCGTAGACCCGGACACGCCTGGCCAGAACATCCAACATCCCTCGAAACCATTTTTCCCTGGCGGCGGCACGAAACGAAAACTGCATTTGAAGTCACGAAGCGGTGCAATGACAGACCGTGCGGTGACCTCGAAATCCCTCAAGACCTCACCGCACGGTCCGTCAACGCACGGTTTTGGGACCTCGGATGTCCCAGTCGCCCGAGACGCGCTCGGAGAACGACCCGAGTCCCAAAACCGTGCGGCGACCCCGAATCCCAACCGACTCACCACACAGTGTGGTCACCCGCGGGAGGCAGCCCAGGCTGGCCCCAGCAGGACCCCACCCGTCCGGACGTGCAGGCGGTTCGGCTCCTGTCGGGACAGTGGCCCCCAGACCGCTCGACCCCGTCCACGGGGCTGGCGGCCATCGCGCGCGGCGAGCGGTGCTCATGCCCACGCCCCCGCGATGTGGACTTCGGGGAGCGACCCTGCGACCAGGATCGCAGGTAGACGCCCAGCTGGCCCACCTGGCATAGCCGGGGAGGCACATGCGCCGCTCATGGACCAAGATGGGCCTGGCCAAGGCTCGGGGTCCCAAAACCATCGCCGCACGGCTTCGGGACCCTGGAGGCTCCCGTCGCCCGAGGCGTCCTCGGAGAGCGACCCGAGACATCCAAAACCGTGCAGTGACCACCCATCCCCACCGACTCGCGACACGGTGTTTGGTCACCACCCCGTTGGGGGGCCCCCGACAGTGGCAGCGGACGTGCGGAGGAGGAGGAGGAGGATTTTTTTGACATCAACATCAAAGGAGGGTGCCTGCCCAGACAATTAGAGCAGGCTGGCTGGCCAACGCCAGCAGGTTACTAACACCTGAAAAGAAGAGGAAAGGCAGGAGGCCACAGCAGACATCTCCAGCTGGCTGGAGGATTCCCCGTGGCTAGCTGCTTCTCCCCCAGGCATTAGTCTGAACTCGAGTCGCCCTCGTCGCGGTGTGCGAGCACCGAGACAAAAGAAGCCTCTCTTGCTCCACGCCGAGAAGGGGACGGGGCACTGGGCAACTCGATTCGAGGAGGGGGAGGAGGAGGAGGAGAGGGAGGATCCTGAAAAAGAAAGCGAGAGGCCTCGTCGTCAGCCTCCCAATCCTGCTGCCCAGCAGGATCCGACACGCTCGCTCACCCCCCCGCTCCCCGCTCCACCCCGTCCCCACGGTCCTCGGTGGCGGTGGCGGGGCGCTGAGGGCCCAGCACCTGCGAGGCGGCGGCACCTGAAGCGCCGACCTGTGGGCCTCCTCCCTTCTGCGCCCAGGGCCCTCTCTCGACCGAGACACCAGGACGCTTAGGATGGAGGCCCTTACAGATCGGGTGCCAACTATTGTACTTCTTAGATCTGGTCGGGCCGTTACAGACATCAGCAAGGCCCGAAGTCCGACCGTGAGAAGAATAAGAATAACATTTGGTGCAAATCACCAGGGATGAATTGTCTGAGCAGGCGAGCGTCAAACACCGATGTCCCCGCGTCTCCAAAATCTGCGTCTCCAGCCCTCGAACAGGCACGCATTTAGAAGGAGGAGGCGGGGGACCGTGGGTAGACAAACGGCTGACTTTAGCGCAGACCGAACACTTCCAAAACCCCGAGACTGACCCAAGCTCAGAAATCTGAATGGCCTGCCAATCGCGTCGTTCAGAATTCACCACCTGGGGGGGGTCCTTGGGCGGCAGAATCCACACAACGTCTTGGAGGTCTAATTTAGGCCACAACGGCATCAGCTTCGCAGACAGCAACGCCACGGCTCTGGAAAACTTAATGTCGAGATCGAGCCTGGACGTGTCATCCTCCGACGGCTGTGGGTGCCCAAGATACCCCTCCCCCGCAGAAGCACTTTTAGCTCCTACGTCGGCATGGTGGTTTCCAAAGCGGCACATCTTATCATGATTGTCGGTCCACTCGTCCAGTGAAAGATGAGCTTTCACTTTGTTCAAAGAGCGGACCTTCCATATATCAGACAGAAGAGAGAGGGAGAACCCACTGTAGCAGCGCTTGGGAGACAGCTGATCAATCTGAGGGCGATCGAAGTGGTCTTTGACCAGCTGAGCGTCAGTGTAAAAGTCCGAAGGTTCTCCTGAGAAAAATATTGCTTGACAAATCGCGGCGAACTCTCCTGCAGGGGCAGTCTGGGGGTAGCACGGGGGGACGGGACCGTAGAGCTTACCCAAGAGGTCACCATGGTCGTCCACGGCCACAAAACACCAGCCTGCCCTGCTGAGCTCCCGAACAACATGTTTAAACGCGCTACCGTCCGTGAAAAGGTTGTTTCTGAACGGAAACTGGCCCACCTCCTGGGGAAAGTCCTCCCTGGCCCAGAAGGTACTAGACGACTCGCCCGCGGGACCAGGAAAATAATCCCCAGGATGGGCGAAAGCACCAAAACAG